AAAATGAAAGCACACTGAGCTTGTGCTAGTATATTCCGTCGGTTAAAATCTTATGTTCTTTCATTTCTTTATTTGTTTGCTTCATTTGTGATGGCAATCTTCTGTTGTTGAGGGAAGATCCGAGCCAAATCTGGAATGGATGGAAACATCTGTCGAGCGGCCATCCAGATGGTTTTCAAGAGATTTCACTGGTCTCAGCGTGTCGATCGATAAGTACTTATCGCAACACTTACCGCGGATCGATCGTGTCTTCACTATGTGAAAGAGGCGAACTAATTTATGTAAGAACCCCTGACGACTATGTAGGTTATTAATTATTTTTAGTGCCAGCGGTTTTCCAGTTATAATTAAATTTCAACCTGCACCCTTCACCCTGCACCCTGCAAAATATACCTGCCGCATTTACACGACGGCTGAGAGAGTTGTCATGTTCGTTAAAAATGTGACTTTGATTCGGGTAATTTGGCTATCCGAACAGTTCTTGTATTAGAAAAAGTATTATTTTAATGTTTCTGAGTTCCTCGAAAGATAAATTCTCGCTGTGGTAGCAAAACTCAGTGACGGATGTTTCTGTTGGTTTCTGGCCGCCATGTTGGTGCTCATCTGCATGGGCACCAGCATGGCGTCTCCATATAAATCTCTATAAATTTGGGTAAAAAGTTTTTCCGCATATCTTACATAAGAAAAATTGCTGTGACCTGAATCTTGGCGAGAGTCTTTGCATATTTACTTTCTTTCTTTTCTCGGATTTTGATCTATTTTGAATAGCGTGACAATGAAAACCAGCAATAGTCCAGACGTTTAGCGTTCTTAATCTCACACCCAGTTGTATTGTCACTGTATTAAGTGATTGGTGCGAGATTCGTGTGTCCTCCTGCAGGCCTTATCCACTATAAATTAAACACTCTTATTCATCAAGTTTATTTTTATCCTTTTACTTATTTACCTGAGGAACACCAAACCCTCTAAAGTCTGTGGCTGAAGGAATTATTTGTTTTACAAAGATAGCCAACCCCACGAATGTTTGGAATGAGGTAACAGTTTTCCAGTAGAAGTGTTCCTGTAACACATAGAAAGTTTTAACGACTTCATTCACGTTTTTTTATAGGAGATGGCAACTTCTGATAAATTTTGAAATCACAAAGAATCAATTTACGAGGGTCCTCAATAGGGTTCTCAGATCCCGCTTTCCCGCCCATTTTTTCCTGTTAATCCCGCCATCCCGCCCTTTTTTGCCTGAAAATCCCGATCCCGTCCACTCTCCGAAGACATTTCTGCGTTATTATTAATTTATTAAATTATTAATTTAATAATTAACACAGAAACCTTTTAGAAATAGATATCGCATAAAAGATCACAAAAGGATTCAAAGGGTAGCAGATAAGTAAGCACAAATGATTATAACGTCACTTTCTGTAAACGGTTTTCTGTTTTTTTCTTCTGCTCACGTATCAGTGAAAGAAAAAGATTGTTCATTTCCATGAGATGGCCGGTAAACACACCTGACAGTTTCCTTCAAAGCTTTCAGCGTCTTCATTTCTTTGAAATCTGGGCTCAGAACTTTTCTTTTCGAATGGAGGCATTCCTGCTCGCACATCCTTTTCATAAATATACATACATTATAATATTTACCCTCGGATTTCAGAGTAGCTGATGCAGCTAATATCTCCGAGCATTTAACCATCAGATAAGAGATAGACCACCACACCGGTAACTACATCCCCTACTCTTTTTGATCAGTGTGTGGGTTCTTTTACATCCCACAGAATTAATGGTGAATAAGGTGTGAATATGGCGACGCAATTTATGATGTCGCATAATTCGTTCGGTAAATCGTAATCACCGCCATCCGGTGTGGCCATCCTGGCCAAAACAAGCCAAGCGCCCGGTCAAGCGCTCTGGGAAAGGTCGAAAGACTAAGAAAAACTAGAAAGGATTGGGGGCAGAGCGGTGGTCAAGATAACAGGCGCAAGCGTCGAAAATGTCGGAAATGGATAGCCTGCGTAGCTTGGCGCTTTTTAAGCAATTTGAGCGCGTTAAGAGAGCGGCGAAGCCACGATAACGAGCGCCAAAGCCGCGAGGAGCCAATGGACAGATGTCATTAATATCAGACGCCAACACAAATGATCGAAATAGGACTCAAAGACCTCATACAGGTCTCATGATACTAATGTAATCAAGCGATAATGGATACGTTTGACAGAACCTGACAGGGTACAGAGCTGTTTGCTATTCATTAGAAACCTGACACAGCTATATGCACAAAAGGTTCGTTTCTACCAGTTTGCGGTTTTTGCGCTGGTCAATTTACGAGGTCATGTAAGAATTTAAAATCCCATATCCCGCTCTATTCCCCTTGTGAATCCCGCATCCCAACCCCATAAAAACACGAAATCCCGCTCCCGCTCGTAATTGTAATTCCCGCTTCCCGCCCCTGTTTTCAGCTCAAATCCCGAACATCACGGCGAAAAAAAGCCAAATCCCGCATCCCGCCAAACTTATTGGGGACCCTAAGATAACGCCAGAAAAAAGTTAAAATATGAATACCACTTGTCCTTTACGGACCGGGGGATTAATGTGTAGTATTGATGACTATTTTTTCGAGTCTTTGGGAACTAAAACTAGCTAGCACCTAACCTGTCTAACCGGTTTCCTTATACAATTGTTGTGAGATATTTGTACTGATTATTTTTGCGTTGTATTCCATTGTGCAAACCAAATCAGAGCAAAATAAAACATAAGAATGCAAACGTAGGTTATACAGCTCAACAGCTGTGTAACTAAAAAATTCATGAGTTTTGAATACGTGTGCAGCAGCTGAAGTAACAGAGCTTTCAAGTTTGCTGCTGCTTATTCATAGACAAAGGAAAAAAAAAAAAAGAAACAAAAAACAAAAAACAAACAAAAAAAGTAAACATGAAGTTGAAAAATAAAACAGGTTATTCGGCCTTCAGTCTGACCGTGCAAAAGCACAAACACGGTGAAAAGTCGGAATTTCTGGCCAAAAAGGAAGAAAATGTTTTTAATGTGTGACAACGATTTTCACACGTCAGAACACTCGTCCTTCAGGGCACTGCAGTGTAAGACTCCTAAAAACATAAAGTATACCACAGACCCCGGGGAGGGGGTACTGCCATATATGGGCTATATAGGTATGTGCCGCTGTGAAGGGTATGGTTTTCAAGCAGTTTACTCTAGGATAGGGTATGTAAATCAGAGCATTGGGTTCTAGAATAGGGTATCATTTTTCGCGAAACTGACAAGTTGGTTGAAGATTTTATCTAGACTAAGGAAACCAGGAATTGCCACTCAAAAGTATAAAAAAATCAACTCGGTAAGTTTAAATTTACGCAAATAAGCCGCAACAGTGTCGATTGATAGCGGGATTTGGGGAGTTTACTCTAGAATAGGGTAGCAAAATTCAGCTGAACTAGCTCTGGTTTAGGCTAAGGGTTCCAGGGTCCCAGCGGCACATC